ATCTTATTGTTTAATTTTTTGAGTTCTTTGTATACTCTGGATATTAGGGCTCTATCTGAAGTGTGAGGAGTAAAGATTTGTTCCCAGGATGTAGGCTCCCTATTTACCTCTCTTATTGTTTCTCTTGCTGAGAAAAAACTTTTTAGTTTGAGTAAGTCCCATTTGTTGATTCTTGTTATTAACTCTTATGCTACGGGTGTCCTATTAAGGAATTTGGAGCCCGACCCCACAATATGTAGATTGGAGCCAATATTTTCTTCTATCAGACGCAGAGTCTCTGATTTGATATCAAGATCTTTGATCCATTTTGAGTTAACTTTTGTGCATGGTGAGAGAAAGGGATTCAGTTTCATTTTGTTGCATATGAATTTCCAGTTTTCCCAGCAACATTTGTTGAAGATGCTATCCTTCCTCCATTGCATGCTTTTAGCACCTTTATCAAATATAAGATAGTTGTAATTTTGTGGATTGGTCTCTGTGTCCTCTATTCTGTACCATTGGTCTACCCGTCTGTTTTGGTACCCGTACCATGCTGTTTTTGTACCCGTACCATGCTGTTTTTGTTACTATTGCTCTGTAGTATAGTTTGAAGTCTGGTATTGCTATACCGCCTGATTCACCTTTCCTGCTTAGAATTGTTTTTGCTATTCTGGGTCTTTTATTTTTCCATATGAATTTCATGATTGCTTTATCTATTTCTATAAGAAATGCCGTTGGGATTTTGATTGGCATTGCATTAAACCTATAGAGAACTTTTGGTAATATTGACATTTTGATGATGTCAGTTCTGCCTATCCATTAACAGGGTATATTTTTCCATCTTCTAAGATCTTCTTCTATTTCTCTTTAGGGTTCTGTAGTTTTCATTGTATAAGTCTTTCACCTCTTTTGTTAGGTTAATTCCCAAGTATTTTATTTTTTTTTTTGAGGATATTGTGAATGGGGTGGTTTTCCTCATTTCCATTTCAGAGGATTTGTCGCTGATATACAGGAATGCCTTTGATTTATGCGTGTTGATTTTATATCCTGCCACTTTGCTGAATTCATTTATTAGCTCTAGTAGTTTCTTTGTAGACCCTTTTGGGTCTGCTAGGTATAGAATTATGTCACCTGCAAATAGTGATAATTTAAGTTCTTCTTTTCCTATTTTTATGCCTTTAATTTCTTTCTTCTGTCTATTGCTCTGGCCAGTGTTTCGAGAACTATGTTGAACAGAAGTGGTGAGAGAGGGCATCCCTGTCTTGTTCCAGATTTTAGAGGGAATGCCTTCAATTTTTCTCCATTCAGAATGATGCTAGCCTGAGGCTTAGCATAGATAGCTTTTACAATATTGAGGTATGTTCCTGTTATCCCTAGTTTTTCTAGTGTTTTGAACATAAAGGGATGCTATACTTTGTCGAATGCTTTTTCTGCATCTATCGAGATGATCATATGATTCTTATCTTTTAAGTCTATTGATGTGGTGAATAACATTTATTGGTTTCCGTATATTGAACCAGCCTTGCATCCCAGGGATGAATAGATCATATATTATGTCACAGGGCAACTCTTAGAAATTATAAAGGAGTAGAGATAATACCATGCATCCTGTCTGATCATAATGGAATGAAACTGGAAATCAACGATAAAAGAAGGAAGGAAAAATCATGCATCACTTGGAGAATGAACAATAGGTTACTGAATGATCAATGGGTTACAGAAGACATCAAGGAGGAAATTAAAAAATTCTTAGAGATAAATGAAAACACAGACACAGCATATCGGAATCTGTGGGACACAATGAAAGCAGTTCTAAGAGGAAAATTCATTGCTTGGAGTTCATTCCTTAAAAAAAGAAAAAACCAACAAATAAATGATCTCACAC